ATGGGTGCTGGGAACCAAACCCTGGCCCTCTGCAAGAGCAGCATGTGCTCTTAACAGTTGAGCTGTCTGTCTGTCTCCCCTCTTCACAGAGATCTTAATTCAAATGATTGACAGGCAGGAAATAATACTCCCCGTGATAAATTTGCCCCTCGATGGGGAAAGGAACACAGGCACATATGCATGGCACAGATAATCCAGGGCGGAGCATGCCAGCTGTGGTCTGCATTAGCTCCCATTTCCAAGCATCCTTGCTGCAGACCCCAGTCTTGTATTGGCTGGCTGTCTTTACCCATTGTAAAGCCTCTGGAACCGACCACTGTCCTAGGTCCCCTCTCCGAAAGCACTCTAGCATCCTCCATAGTCCCTGCCCGGACCACAGTCCCAGGGCCCGTCTCACCTTGAGACAGTTGTAGCCGATGATGCAGAGAAAGGCCACCAGAGTATGCAGCAGGCTCAAGCACCGCAGGGCGGGCTCCATGTAACCCGTGCTCTCCTCCAGGAAGTAGTACACCATGTTCTCATCTTCGTCACCTTCCACCTCCTCGCTGGCCCCGGAGCCCCAGCCGGAGCCACCACCAGACCCTGCCCCTGACATGTCCCCGGCTCCGGAGCCTTCTACGTCATCCTCCCCTGGTGGAGAGTCTGAGACCTGAAGTGGGGTCAAAGGTAGATCAGAGGGGACCCTGGTGGCACCTGGCCTGTTATGCCCAAACTCACAACCCTTATCATTTGTATGATATTTTGTTTTGTTTCCTCTCCCTCCCTGATTCTTTCTTTTGAGACAGGATCTCACTGTGTAGCCCTGGCTAGCCTGGAAGTCACTATGTAGACCAGGCTAGCTTCAAACTCAGAGCGATTCACCTGCCTCTGCTTCTTCAGTGCTGGGATTAAAGACGTGCACCACACTCCCATCAACACTTTCTTTTTTGACATAGTACCTTGATAGCATAAGCTTGCCTGGGATTTTCTATGTAGCCCAGGATGGCCTCAAACTAGTGATCATCTGTGTCAGCTTCCCAAGTACTGAGATTATGGATATGTGCCATCACACTAGGCCTACTATAGAACTCTCTAGATGCAGAGACTGCTGTACTTTACATTTATTTGAGTCTGGGTCTCATGTACCCCCAGACTGCCCTCACACTCTCTCTCTGTATAGCCAAGAATGACCTTGAACTCTTGATCCTCCTGTATTGGTCTCCTTTTTTTGAGATAAAGTCTCACTATGCAGGCCTGGTTGGCCTAGAACTTACAGAAACCCAGCTGCCTCTGCTTTCCAAGCATTGGAATTAAAGGCCTGCACCACCAAGCCTGACCCTGGTTCCCTTTTAAGTTTCACAAGTCTCAGGTATAAATGTGGTTTCAACCCCATTTTGAGGATGAGGAGACTGAGGCATGGAGAAGTTCAGCATTTTCTCACCATCACCCGTCTCTAGCACACCTGTGTGTTGTCATGTAGTCCCCTGGCAAGGACACGAAGCCCCCTCTAGCATCAGGAGGCCTGGTTCCTAGCCCCCCCCCCTCTGTTCTGTCAGCTGTCCACTTTCTTCTCCACACACACAGCTCTCCTTAGCTGGCCTGAAAGGGAAGCAGCCTCGACGGGCCTATGGGTGCCGCAGAGGGGACCCTCACACCTGGTACTGCCTGGCAGGTGCCCAAGCTGGCTGGGAGAGCAGCTCTGTGTCTTGTACAGCTTCCTGAGTGCATGCAGACATCTGTCCCATATGGGCCCAGCCACCCCTACCCACAGGGTGCCAAGCCCAGGCTGTCCAGTCGGAACGCCCCTAGGAAGGCTCAGTCTGGAATCTCATCCCTTCCTTCAAGGTATGTTGAGCCTCCCACCTCGCAGCTGGGTGAGGATCTATTGGACCCTCCCCCGGGCCTGTGGCCACAGGACAGATACCTTATAAAACAGCAAGATGAAGTTGATGGCAAATGCCAAGAAGAGGGCCAGGAACCGCAGCGTGTAGAAGTTCCTCGACAAGTAGTTCTAGAAAGAGAGAGAGGAAGAGAGTTCACAGTGCGGCCTCATCCCTGACCACATCTCACTGGTCACCCACGGCCAGAGAGCCGGAGCCTGACATTGCTGCTCCCACAGCCTCCTTCTCACGGAGTGCTCGCTGGGCACCAGGGCTTTGGCCGAGAGCGCTCCATGCAAGCCCTTGTTTGTCTCTCCCCAGAGCTTTACGGATGTGCCATTGCTGTGCCGGCCTTTACAAAGGGAGAGACTGAGGGCGGGGAGGTGCTGTCTTTCCTAAGGTCAGATACCCAAGGAGCTGCAAACCTATCATCTGGGAGAAGGAACTTAGAGCTCCCATGAGCAAGCTCTCTGCCACTGAGCCACATCCCGGCCCCAGGTACACTGGAGTCCATATCCCCGCCCCACTGCTTCACCGTCTGCATGACTGGAAACAGAAGGTGGCTTCTGCATCGCGCCATCTTTCTCTCTCCCCACTTCTCCTCTCCCTCCTCATCTCACAATCTTCACGGAACCACCTTCCACTCAGCATCTCAGCATGTTTGCCCCGCCCCCAACTCAAGTCAGGACTGGCTTGGGGGGGGGGGGACACGGACGGATTGACACTGGGAGGGGCAGCATCCTGTCTCCCAGACACCTCCCTCCTTCTGAGACGGTGAGATGGGTCTTGCCCAGGACCTCTGGGGGTCCAGACCCCCCAGCTGTGCCAGGGGACAGCTCTGCCCTCTCTGAGATGAGCTTGGAGGGATGGGGGTCCCCCCAAGAAGAGAAAGCTTTAGTGTACCCCTGCTGGTCCTCACCAAGAATTTCACCCTCTGTACTTCCAGTTCCCCCCAGAATTCCTCCAGGCCTGCACCTCCGGCTTCCTCCTTCTTTGGAGGGGGTGGAGGGGGTGTCTTCTTGGGGGGTTCTGGAGGAGGCTCGGGGACTTCTTCCTTCTCTCCATTCTCAGTGCTGTGGGACACAGAAAGGGATCGGTGGGTACTTGGGCAATTCACTCATTCAAAGTCATTCATTTGGGGGCCATTCCATGCCAGGCCAGGTAGAATGGTGCTGGGGACTCAATGATGAGACAACATAGGCCCTACCCTCATAATCTCCAGTAAAACGGAGCTGAGTAGTGGGGTGGGGCGGGGCTCGATGTAGAGCACTTGCCTAGTGTACGCAAAGGCCCTGGGTTCTGTCCCTAGCATGGGAAAAGAAAGCAAATCCAACCAAAGCAACCAAAACTACTGGTTAACAGTAGTGGAGATTAGAGCTGGGCCTGAGCATGCTGGGTAAGTGCTCTGCCTGAGATGCATCTGTTTTTATTTGTTATTTTGAGACAACGGTCTCAATAAGTTGCTTAGGATGGTCTTGAACTTGCTGTGGCCCAGGCAGGCCTTCAACTTTTGACTCTTCTGCCTCGATTAGATGGGATAAAAATACTCCATCAAAATAACTTCACATGTGGAGCATGGCGGCGTGTGTGTGTGTGTGTGTGTGTGTGTGTGTGTGTGTGTGTGTGTTCCAGACAGAAGGAGCCATGAGCACAAAGATATAGAGCCGAAAGAGCATCCTATCTCTGTTGGCTTTCTTGAAGTCTCCCTTCTGCCCCAGATATGGATGGAGTGATGCTGAGGGCAGAGGGTGACCAGTACAGTTTCGGCCTTGACTTCAGAAGGCTCTCAGACCAGAAGGACTGAGGCAAGAGTCTGGCTCCTTCCACTTGGAGACACTCACTCAGCTTTCTCCGGTTCTGGCTCCGGCTCTGGTTCTGGAGGAGGCTCCTCTTCTTCTCCATCCACCTGTGGACAGGGCACAGGTCTGAGCCTGCTTGGTCCTCACCAGCCTCTTTCTAGTCTGTTACTCTCTGGTCTCACTTCTTTCTCCCTAAGCAATCAAAGTGTTAACCTTGCTCCCCTCCTCCAAGGAAGCGGGAGTATGAGTCTCATTGTTAAGAGGGGAAATCGAGGCTCTGGGAGATAAAATGCCTGGCTCACAATCCTGTGTAGAATCGGTCTGAAGTCAAAGAGCCTTTTGTCTGTTTGTGGTGGGTTCTTGCTATGTAGCTGGTAGTGGACTCCTGGTCCTTCTTCCTCAGCCTCCCCAGTGTTAGAATCACAGGCGGTCAGCATGCTTGCCCAAAGGATGCTCTTGTCCCTCACGGCTTCTCATCACCTTGACAACCACAGGCAGCTGTCATAGCACCAAGGTGTGAGGATGTTGGGGGAACCTTTCTCTGACAGACTAACTCCCTACAGCCCTGAGTTTCTCTGAGGGTCATTCCTGGCGTCGTTGGCACTATCTCCGTGGGTCTTTTTTGTCTGGTCCTCCCTCCCCGGTTCCTCTAATCTGGTCTCTAGGTCTTTGGTTCTCTCTAGCCCACAGTATATGTTTCTCTCCCCAACATTTTGACCTTCTCCTCTTTCGGTTCTGCTTTCTCTGAGAGTTTCTGTCAGGCTGACCCTCTGTCTCCATGCCCTGGAGCCTCGCAGGCCTCTCTCACCCCCAGCTTCCTCTTGAGGATGGGCGAGCCCTCTGGCGTGGGAGGCTCCACAGGCGTTGTGTCACCCATGTCCCCGAGACCACCAGTGCCTTCTGGCCGGAAGGGGCTCCCATCGGCCACAGCTACCGCCCCGTCGGCGCCTCCCGTGCCAGCCTGGTCCGCTGCCGCCTCTTCGTCTCCCGCGCCTTCGGCGGCATCGCCTTCGCCCTCGCCCTCGCCCTCTCCCTCGGCATCGCTGCCAGGGCCGCTCGGCTGCTGGCCGTGCACCTCGTCGCCCGTGGGGTCCGGCATGCCGGCCAGGAGCTCGGTCACCGTCACCTTCTTGGCGCTGTCTACCAGCCCGCCGCCGAACAGCGAGCCCCAGAGAAGCCTCAGCGCCCCCGCCGCCGCGCCCGCGCCCG